TACCACTACCACTACAACTACCACTACCACTTCGACGGCTACTACTACCACTACTACTACTACTACTACTACTACTACTACTACTACTACTAGTACTACTAGTACTACTACTACTACTACTTATTCTTCTTCCTTTTTTCTTCTGCTACTAAGGATTTCCAAAGTCTGCACAAGAGAGGGGCCCACAGCTTGCGGCAAAAATCTGCCCCTATGCTTGAAACCCTCACGAGACTCCTTCATCAAAGATTTTCCGCTCGTGTCGATGGAGTGCTTGCTGATGCGGTGGGAAGCCACATGATTGATGGCAACGGCAAAAAAGGCAAATAGCCATGCGAAGATCTGCATGCCACCAAAAGAGGGCAAGAAATGGGCAAACTACGAAAACGCCTGTGCAGCTAGTACGAGCTCAAATGGCGGCAACATGCAGCATCAGCTGGGTCACTAGGCCAGAGCTTAGGATTTCCTGGGCTCGAAGTTGAAGGCCCAGAATCTGACCTTTTCAATTAACTATAGGTTTTGCAGGATGGGAGCCAGGGTCTACCTTTTAGGGCCCTATGAACAAAAAAACCTTTGAAGCAACGAATTCTTCTACAGCCCCTCCTTCAATACTTTCATAGCTCTACGTCAGCGTCATGCTTGAGGTTAGGCTTCCTGGTTCTTGACTGTTTTGCGGTATAAGGTGCAGGGTTTCTACAGAGAGTAGGATCTAACATTTTAAAAAGTAGATCCCCTAATTTGGGACCCCATACTACTAAGGGGTACTTTACAGTACTCCCCCTGTGGGATCTATGTTTTAGATCCTTCCGGTGATCTGGGAAGCTAGATTCACGTGTCAAACCTACATTCCAGGCAACCAGGCCACTGAAACGACTACTCCTTCGAACTATGGGAACCCCTGAAAACCCTGCAGCCCTAAACCCCTCTACCCTCAAACACCCTAAACCCAACTAAACCCTAAACCCTAAACCCTAAACCCCCAAACCCTCAAAAACCCAAAACCCAACACCCAAAAAACAACCAACTTCCGGCCGCGCAGCTTCTGCATCCCCGTTGTGGGGTTGGCGATGTTCAGCTTCATGGCCTCGAAATGAGCTTCGGGTTTATAAACCCTAAACCCTAAACCCCTAAACCCCTAAACCCTCACCCCTAAACCCCTAAACCCTAAATCCTGAACCCCTAAACCCCTAGACTGTCTAGGGAATGTTCTCAAAGAGTCCCTCCACATGGGGAGTTCTATTGAAGTAGAGGCACCTTTTAAGTCCATCTTATAGGGGTGCCGCCTTTTGCTAGAAAAGGACTTTAGGGTTTGCTGTTTAGGGTTTAGGATTTAGGACTACCCATGTACCTACCTTCACCTACTCTTTGTAGGCTCTCATGATGAGCCCGATAAAGCTACAAAGAAATGGAAGTGTTAGTAGGTCAAGGTATGTACCGAATATTACTCCCAGACTACCGGAACGATCTAAAAAAAAGATCCCACAACAGATTTCCTTTAACGTAACCCTTAGTTGCGTAGGGTCCCATATGAGGGGATCTACCTTTTTTATAGTTGGGGGAAACCACTGAGATCACACGCACTGATTGTATCCGTTAAGTGTTAGCAAAGGTCAATGTACCATGGCACAACGCTATTGTTTTTCCCTTGCTAGAGCACTGCAGCGACAGTCATCAACACATATGCACAAGGGGACAATACTTTACACGTGCATAATCTACATTTTTAGATCCCTCCGGTGGTCTGGGCTTACGGTTGCTGCCATGCTCGACCGACCCACTAACCCTGGTCCCCCTAAACCCTAAACCCCCAAACCCCTAAACCCTAAAGCCCTAAACCCTAAACTCTAAACCCCTAAACCCCCAAACCCTAAACCCCTAGTCCGGGGTCCTTTGGGCCCTTAGGGCTTGGTCCGGAACCCACGAGAGCCTCGACTCCCCGCCCTGAACAGAACCTGAGAACCCAAACGGTAGGGTTTAGGGGTTAGGGTTTTAGGGTTTAGGGTTTTAGGGTTTATAGGGTTTTAGGGTTTATAGGGTTTAGGGTTTAGGGCAGCCCCGGTAAAACCGGAGTGCATGTGTCGATCTGATTGTCTGATAGATGATACATATATGTATATACACATGATACTTACACACATACATGCATACTGACATGCGTACATACAGGATCTCTCTCTCTCTCTCTATATATATATATGTATATGTATAATAATAATCATAATAATCATCATCATAATCATAATAATCGTAATAATAATGATAATAATAACATTAGTCATAATAATAATAATAGTAATATAATAATAGTAGTAATAATAATAACATTAATCATAATACTGATAGTAATAATAATCATCATAATAATAATAATCATCATCATCATAATAATAACAGTACCCCGTTACACACGGGACTTGGCTTTCAGGGATTCTGGGGTCGAGTCTAATCCCTAAGCCACGAAACTCCAACACCCAAAAGCTGCAGAACCCCTGGTCTGGGGTTTAGGGTTTAGGGTTTAGGGTTTAGGGTTTAGGGTTTAGGGACCCTTCCCAGAGCCCACAATTTCTGAAACTTTGACCTCCAAAGGCCCTCAATGAAACGCGGAAGCAAGTCATAACCCTGCAACCCTTGGAAACCCTGAACCCTACACCGCACAGTCGAGGTCACGAAGCTCATAGAAAGGCTACCGAGACAACTACATGATCTCGGTCATCATCCCCACTCTTAGTTTTGTTGCTGGGACCGTCGAATTCCAAAGCCGTCGACCTTACCCCCCCAGACCCTTAACCCTAAACCTCCCGGAAGAGAACCATGGTTGCGAAACTGGCCCACCCCATCTCAGCGTGGCGCTACCAACAGCCGCTCGCCGCTCCTTGACCTACGAGAACCAAATGACCCTGGAGCAAAACGGCGGCGACGGATGGCGGTGGTGTGAACCTACGCAGACCTTCAACTGTAGTACAGCAGGCAGGGTTCAGGGTTTAGGAGTTTCGGGTTTATGGGTTTAGGGCTTTGGGGCTAACGGCTTACAGTAGAGGTTCAGGACCAACTACCTTATTAACAGGATCCGCACCCCCCAAAAAGGGCTATCCAAAGAAAGGTCCTACATTCTAGATGCTAGGGTCTAGGTATGCCAGGCCTTGTCGCCGAATCAAGCAAAGCTGCAACCTGAACTACGGAACTGCTAAGCCGTTATGGATCCCTCATTCTGGCTCCGTTATATATGGGAGCCCCTTAAGGGTTCATTTAAGGGCTCCTTCAAGGGAACCCCATCCTACTAGACTAAGTTTACCTGCCAGGCTAACTCCCTCCGTGGAACCAGCTGCTTATGCAGCTAAGCCCAGTCCCCCAGCACTGAAAAGATACTAATCTGAACCCTAAACCTGCAGACCCTGACCTCTGAACCTTATGATCGTAACTAGAGCTGCCAGCTTTGAAAACAGCGCTACGCGTCGTTACGCCACCCAAAATTCAAAAACACATCGATGTGAACGACGTCAATATCTGAAGCTTGCACTAACAGGCTAGGAACCAGTCCAAAGCAGCGGTTGCGGCTTAAGGTTTAGTGCTTATAGGGCTTTGATTTAGGGTTTGGGGTGACAGTCCGCTAAGACTGGTATCTGCCCCGAACACTCACCCTACAAACTCTCCGAAGAGAAGATTCTTCTCTAGAAGGTCGAGATAACCCTTCGTAGTGGAATGCTAATACCCTAAACCCTACACAAAAAAACGCGACAGAAGCCCAATGCCCTATAGATAAAGGTAAAGGGCTGCTGCCTCGACCCTGCGTCTACGCTTCATGAGACTCTAGATGCCCTCACCCTAGTATTGAAGAGCTCAACCCCGGAGAACTAGTAAAAGGTATCCCTGAACATATCCCCCCCAAAGCCGGCGAAACCGCCTCAAAGCCCCTTGGGGTTCAGGCTCTAGTTTCTAAACCCTAAACCCTGAAACCCTGAAACCCTAAAACCCTAAAGCCCTAAACCCTAAACCCTGAAACCCTAAAATCCTAAACCCTAAACCCTGAAACCCTAAAACCCTAAACCCTAAATCCTAAAGCCCTAAACTGTGAAAGCCTAACGCTGGGGTTAAGGTAGGTAGGATGAAGGCTCACCTGTATGGAGACTCTTATTTAGCATTACCCCGAATAAAACACTAAGGGTCCAAGTAGTCCTCGTTTATGGCTTTTGGTGCCCAGAATTGACTCAAAGCCCTCTAAGAGGGACTGCTCGGACACCCAGGGTTTCTGTTTTCAGGGTTTAGGGTTTAGGGTTACCCTAAACACTAAACCCTAAACCCCAAACCTTAAAGCCCAAACCTTAAACCCCTACACCCGAAACCCTATAAGCCCTACACCCTGAACCCAAGGGCTTTGGTGACCAGGCCTCGCGGCGAAGGCATCGGAACTTCGAGCTGTGCCTGCATGTGGCTAGTTCGCTAGGGTTTTAGGGTTTTGGGTTTAGGGTTTAGGGTTTTAGGGTTTAGGGTTTAGGGTTTAGGGTTTTAGGGTTTAGGGTTTAGGGTGTCTTGAAGGGTCGTGGTTAGGGAGATATCACGGGTTTCTAGGGTACTACAGGGGTTCTGTATGGGTAGCATTGCCACTGACATCCTAAGCAGGTCCTAACGCCTAAACCCGAACGCATTGGAGCCCTTAAGCCCCTGAAACCTAAGCACCAAGAGCTCTCACAGGACTCTGCTTCGGTTTAGGGTTTAGGGTTTAGGGTTTAGGGTTTAGGGTTGCGCTTCTTGGCGTCTTCGCATTCCACATGTTGCTCTCAGGCTGAAGTAAAGGACTTTGATCAAGAAATACTTATTTAATGTCTGACCTTGGTAAGGCCAATATTCGGAACCCTAAGAACCCGCGGCCTCTAAATCAAGTTTCTGGACTATGGTAGACCAACCTGGCTTGTAAATAGTCTTGGGTTTGTTATGGGAACCACGGGAGGACTGAACAGTGACACACCGGTTTTGTTTAGTTCGCCTATGAGGAAAAGAGGACATCTCTCATATCGCTATGGTCGCAGACATGCACACAGCAACCGAAAACAATGTTGCTCCGCGAAGCATGACCCAATAACCGTTACGGCCTAAAAGCATTAACAGAGCAGACATCGAAAAGGATGTTCCGTCAACCGTTGTGTGCGACTGTTCTTTCTGGCTTCTGTGCCATTGCGACAGGAAGCCTGCGTCACATCGTCAACATGGACCCAAGGACCTTCTGCCACATGAAACGTGCTTTCTTTATGACTTCTATTGCACTGACAAGTGGAAGTTTAATTCATCCTGTTCTCTCCCTGTTTCTCTCGCACACACACACACGCAGGCGAGCGCACGACATCTGCACATGC